AGGGACCCACACGCCGGGCAGGAGATGGAGGCACCTTTTATTCACCAGCACCTCCCTGGCCAGGCACACTGGAAACACGATTAATGACCGGTCCCAAAGCCTGTCCCCATCCCCAGGTTCCTGGGAGCAGCTGGAGCAGCTGGAGGGGACAGGCAGGGTGGAGCCAGGTTGTCCTCCTAGCCTTATTGTCAGGGGTATAATGAACTGATCCTTTTTTTTTTTTTTTTTTTTCCCCCAAGCCTCTCTCCACAAGTTCCAGGGAATGGGGTAAAACCAGGCTGTGTTCAGTGTGATGGACATGCACTGGGATGGCATCCTTTGGAGGGGTCACTCTCTCACACGTGTGCCTTCAACCCCAGGGGGTTCCCCCACACTGCAACATTTGCCTCTCACAAAATAATCAAATACGCTTATACTCCTGTTGTATGCTCCACCCATCAACCCAAACCCTGAGAACTGATGCACAGGTGGGCACAAGAGGAGCCCAGGGGTTTTTCTGTTAACGAGGCTGGGGCATGAGGGCAGCTGTTAATGATGGAGGTTGGCAGACATTTCCCACATCGCCCATTCCCAGCCCATTTTCCTTGTAACCAAGCATCCAAAGGGGGTTTCTCTGAGCGWCACTGCTTTTGAATGTTTTATTAGAGACTGAAGCCAGCACAGGATATTGAGCATTTCAGCAGCAGAGCAATACTGTGCTTGGCTGGCAGGGTTTAATATGTATCTGATTGTATTTCCAATTACGAGAAATGCACTGAAGCCAGTCCTGAGGCAGGCCAGAGAGCTCCGAGCGCCACAAATCTGGGCCATTTAGCTGCTATGAATTCTGCTCTTCCCTCATGATTCATCTCGAGAGCATTTAAGTCCTTGTAAAAATGCATTGCCAATTAAAAAGTGAGAGTGGCTCTGAAGGATTAGACAATTTGAGAAGTACCTTTTGCAGCAGGGTGGGATTTGAGCATCCATTTTTTTGTTCGAATCATGCAAAATCCTGCATGATCCAGTGGGAATGAAAACTCCTGCTGAAAACCTACTTCAAAGTCCATGGCGTCCTTCCTTAAATTAAAGTCTGGGTTGGGGCTGGGGTCTCGGAACTCCACCTGAGTGTGTGCTGTGTGAGATGTATCATCCCAAAGCAGAGCAAGCAAAACTCTTTTTGGAGAGGCTGTGCCCAAACAGGGGCTCGATTGCAAATCATTGGTATCTGATGCCATGGGCAGCATCCCTGGGGCTGCAGAAATGGGAACCTGCTCTATCAGAGGATCACTGTGTTGGAAGAGACCTTAAAGATTATCTGATTATAACCCCCTCCCTGCCATGGGCAGGGACACCTCCCCTCTGACCAGGTTGCTCAGGCAGCAGCACTGCCCTGGCTGTTACCTCCAGCCCGGCACAGCCACCAAGACAGAAGCTGAAAATCCACCCTGTGTGCACAGCCTTGCTCTGATCCCCCTGAAGCCTCTACAAGCTTCAGGCGGTGGCTCCCAACAGCTTCAAACAAGAGCATTAATCTGTGACAGCCTCCCCTGCCAGAGCGCGGGGAGCGCAGCAGGGGCGGCCCAGACAGACTTTTATGGCCACAAAGGCCACGTCGCACCTGCTGACGGTTGTGAATAGACTTGCAGACAGCACCAGGTGTGCCATTGCAACAGATTGCACAACTGGGTGTGCCTTTCATCTATGTATAGAGCCCCGGCGAGGGGATGGAGCGCGCCCGGCAATTGTCCTAATTTAGCAAAAATCCTATTTGTCCAGCGGGTCGCCCTGCGCGGTCGGCACGTGTATTTCAGGAGCAATTATCTCGCTTGCCCTTGGCCTGGCCCCGGCCCTGGCCCTGCGGGGAGCCGGGAACGCCGCTTTTATGGCTGGCGGCGAGGGATGGAAATGAGGGAGGGGAAAGGCGAGCGGCCGGGGAGCGCATCCCGCGCCCGGGAGTCCCGCACCCCACCGACCCCATGCGGTAATTCAGCTCCTTATTTACAGCGACAGCCTTCCGGAGGCGATGTTTTAATCATATCACCGCCCCTGAGAGCCGGGAGCAGCTCAGGCACAAAGAGCAGAAACAGAGGAGGTCCATGGACTTGCAAGGTGCTGGTGCCTTTTCTTCTGCCACTTAATAGTGAGCCCGACAGCAACACGGCATTGAAGGTTTTATCATTCCAGGCTTCATTAGAGGTCTGAGTCATAACTTCAGGTTCATTAGATTATTTCCACATCTCAAAGTCACATCGYAACGACGACAGAGATTCTAAGACTTGTGTTATAAATGTGGACCACAAAATTGTTCTCAATAAAAGATGCTGATCTCATGGGGATGGTGGGATGAGATCAGATCAGAGCTCTGCAGGCTGGAGCCAGGATTCATTAGCAGCAAATGGGGACCCTGCTTTRTGCTAACTGTCCACCCTCCCTGGATGTATGTGTGGTGGCACGTCCAAAGGATGCATCTAAAACGTAGATGTGATTGCAAGATTCCATTAGAAGAACTTCTTTCCTGCCCGGCTTGGCCGATGTATATTGGATTTGCTCTAATTAYGATCTTTGAAATGATCCCTGATGAGAGAAGTGACATCTGAATTTTTCTGGTTATATTTTTATAAATATGAATCATCTACTGTTTTGAAAAAAAACAAAACAAACCCACAGGAAGTTCAAGCCCTTTGTCCCACATCTTCAAACCTTTGTAATTGCTTGTAAAATCTCCCACCAAAATTAACATGGAAAAAGTAAAAGGTTGAAGACATATTTATGTTTAATATTGCAGTCAAACACCAGATAACTCATGGCTTAATGCACAGTTTTCCCTATACTGCTGTTTCTGTGGAAAATCCCAAATTGTGGAAGAAAATTAAAGTAATCCTGTGACTGTTTAGGTGTTTGAGAATTGTACACTGTGGGGATGGTGAGGCAGAGCACAGGGATGGAGTCCAGCATCCCTTGGGGTGTAAAGGCTTCAGAGCCCCTGCAGTCCCCCAGGATTTTGTAGGTTTTGTGCCCCTGGGGAGGAGCAGACTGGGAGCTGGGGACAGCGCCTCTTGTCTGGCCTTGTAGATCATGGAGAAATGCTGAGGGACTGCCCAGCTCATGCCACTGCCCTCCATCACCATTACCCACGAGTATCAGCTGCCTACAAACTCCTCTGAAGCCTGCAGGCAGCGTTGGTGAGGTCACCTTGGAGCAAGCAGAGCACTGATGTCACTCTGCCATCCCTGTGACTTCCCTCCCCACACCCTCCATGCCACCACGTGTCCCCCACACCATGGCCTCCAGCTCTCACCYCTCACCTGGGAAGCCTCTGCTGCTGCCCTGGTGGCAGTGGCTCCTCGGTGTCACCCTGCATGGCCCCAGCAGACACCTTTGGCAAGCCCCCCACCCTGGTGAGTGATGGGGRACAACCTGGCGCTGCTCTTGGGGAGGTTTGGTACATTAGAGGCACAGCCACAGCACCTCGGAGGGGGCAAAATATTTTATTTTTCCCAATTACTGCATTATACAGAGAAAAGGCTTTTGACATGTATATACACACATTTATTGCTTGACACTAACCAGACAACAAGCTGCTGTGTGACYGTAATTTTGATGGAATCAAATAGAAACTTAGGTAACTACAGCCTGGAATAAAAAGGCATTATTTATTCTGTGGACTGTAGTAGTTCATAAAGGCCTCAGCAGCAATCAGGACACACTGTACTAGACAGAGCARTGGAGACCCCACCTTAAAACACCTTCCAATGTAAACACACCAGACAGACAGAATTTATTTGCTTCTCACAATAACTCAGCCCTTGATCACCACAGACCAGGCCCAGCTCAACACAGCTGTGTTTCACAGAAGTCTGACTGCACAGACAGAGGCTGCACCTTCTTCAATGGCTTTCCAAGGACCTTTYCTCCCTATCAGTAGGAGAACCAGCAAGCAGCAATTCTAAAAGCCTTTTTTTWAAAAAAACTTAATTATTTATACACCTATTTAGATATACTTTAGAGATTTATAGATCTCTAGACTTTTAGATATATTTTAGAGATTTAAAATCAGCCATCAGACACCTCTGCTGCATTTATTCCAGCTGTTAAGTTCAAGTTTGTATATTTGCAGTCCTCTTCTAAACACACTTAGCACCTCAGTGCTCCTGGAGGCACATATAATGTGGGCATGTTGATTAAGTCAGGGAATAACATAAAMCAGTGCATAATTAAATTGCCAGACTTGATTCCCTTTCATTCATGCTCTTAACAGTTTCACATGACAAACTGTCCACATCCAAACTACACYGATAGAACAAGTACTATACGTTCTAATCAGACCACTTTATTAAATCAAATTGTGTTGCTCATTACATCTGTGCAGGTTGCACAGGCTTTCATGTAAACTGCACAAATCATGATAAAATCACAATAAAACACTTCCAATCAGATTCCAAGAAGTATTATCTGAGGGGTAAGTCCCATTCCTCCCATTTGCATGATAAGGAAACTGAGACCACAGAAAACCTCAGAGAAATCACTTGTGTTCAGTCACCTCATAGCCAAATTGAAAGAATTCGGCCTCTCTGGTCCCGCTCTAGAGGACAAAGTTTGATCTAATTTATCAAGTATTGCCCATAAAGCAAACAAAGAAGCATGTGTTCCAGCAGAAGCCCCCATCCTTCACCCCTCCATCACCATCACTGCTGCCCAGCATTGTAATGGGAACAAACAGAAGCACATAATCTTCCAGCTGCTCCATTGTCCAAACGACACGTTAGCAGAAGGATTTACAGACCTGTTTGCTTATGAAATAAAGGTTTGCATGTTCAGAAATGCAAACGCCTCCTCTGCACAGGRGCCACACACCACAGGGAATGCTCCCTGAAGGCTGTGCTGAACTCAGAACATTGTGAAGTACCTGTGACTACTGAGGTTTGCTGYTTTCTAGCAAAAAATATCAAAAATGACAATGAACRCACAGCTGCCAGTATGTACAGACCAYGGTGAGAGGCTTGGGAGGCAGCTGYACYRARGGCCTGGGCAGCTCTTCTAATCAGTGCTGTGGAAAAGGAGAACTGGACACATTCACTTAATCTTTGCACAAAAATCAACATTTGCCTCTCAAAGTCAAATCCGGGCCCCAGTGATGCCAGTAAGTGTTTTGCTGCTAATGGAAATTGTGTAAAGAKTTTAATTCACATTTCACTTCCAAATTTATTTAAAGAGAGATTTGCTTTGTGAGAAGTTGAGTTGATTGAGGCAGGCAGATTTGCAGCTTTCTGAATCCAGAGAACCAGCAGGAAATAGTTCCTTAAAATCATGCTTTACTTTTTTGGTAGTTTAGGTGCTATGTTATTGTGGAACCACATGAAGCTGAAGATGACACCCATTGTCTTTGGGAAAGTCTCATCATAAGCAAATTTCATGGATTCTTCTAAAGGGATTTCCACAACTTCAATCAGCTCTCCTTCTTCGGGCTGGCCACCTCCTCCACTTGCTCTCATTTGGTCGTTTACTTCTGCATAAAACAATGTCTGCCTAGAACCTGTCACACCAACTCCAGACCTGGAAAAAAGAGAGGAAACTGTTTTAGATAGAAAGAAGGCAGCAAGGAACTCGGAATGGAAACCTGGGTCCTCARTGTGTGAGACTGAAATTGATTGAGACAGAATTATTGCGACAGAAATTGATTGCAACTTCCATCCAGAAATACCAACAAATTTTGAATATAGWTTCATAAGAAATAGATCCATCTTCAAATATATTCTACAACTTTGGAAAAATGTGAGTTTGGGAGAAAATTTCTTTTAAAAATCTGTGAATACCCTGAAGTCAAGAGAAGTTCTTTCAGATGACCCCAGGGAGAGGGGAACTGCAGGATGACTCACAGAGATGCACAAACAACAGGAAGAATCTCCCCACTGTATCTGAATGCTATCGTGCCACATTTGTTTGCTTGTTTTTACACAAATATTTAGATTTTTTACTCTTAAGAGGATTATGTCCATTCACAGCTGGAGCCCTCCACTCATGGACTGGATAGGTACAAGAAGAGAAAGGCAGTCTGAGACTYGCTCTCTATCCTTCCTGAACTTTAGCCTTGACCCAAATGGACCACTGTAAGCACGCACATGTCCAAAGTAATTCAGTCTCCCTGCTGAATTTGCTTCAGTGGATTTAGTTGAGGATATTTTAGATTATGTAGTCTTTCTTCAGCTAGACCGCTTGCTGTGTATTATACTTCTTATTTGTTAATCCTCTATTTCCTTAGGACTATTTAATTTAGGCATTATTAAATAAGGGATAAGTACATAATCCACTCATTTAGTCCTTCCAAGAAAATATTCACATTGTAATCGCAATTTCTTCATTTCACATGATTACAAGTGACTTTTCACATTAAATCTGGATTCAAAGTTCACTGAAACTATGAATGAGGCATTAGGGCAAGATGAAAAATTAGCTTCCATATCATTACATATACAGAGGATTCTCAGATTTGTAGCAGTGTTATGATCTTAGAGTGTATATCCAGATTTACCCAAACATTAGTCAACTAAATCTTTCAGTTAATCCAGCACACATCACACCCCATAGCAGGAATTAATCATTTGTCTTGCAATTTTTTAAGAACACTGGCAATTATTTTGTTTGAAGAATTAGAAGTCACTATTGAAGTTTGTTTCTAATAGTGATTATTGAAGCTGGTTTCTTACATCAATATACACTTCTTAAAATTACTGAGTAGAGAGTAAAACAGTGAATTCTTTTCCTAAAATCACTTCTGATAAGTTCTGTGACTTTGGACAAGATGCTTCACCCCACCACAATCATTCCTGTACATCTGTGAGGAGAAACTTAAACATCTTTGGCACTTTCAGGAACTCTGAAGGTTCATAYTGGACCTCTTTGATTCTGTGCTCAWCACTTTATTCCAGTRGCAGGATTGGAGYTTTTARTACACATTTTAACCAACTGTAAAATTTGCAAGACAAAGAATGCAGTTTGCTGGTCACCACAGGTTCCATGGAAAACACAGGGCTGTGTATAATATATTTAATGTGCTGTTATTTATGATGAGTGTCAACTCTGACACCTTCATCTGCAGTGCCCCACCTGAGAATTAAAATGATTCAAACCTGAGTATTTCCATGTCCACTTGATATTATGCAAAGGTTATATACAAAAGCAGAAACTTTATTGAAGAAGTCCTTCTATGAGAACATTCTGGCTTGATTATTTGCAGCATAATCTCCTTCTATAACACCTGTGACCATTTACTTCTGAAATAGCTACAGCTGTGGATATCAGGAATTCACTTTCCACACATCTTTTCTTTAGAGTAARGGAAAACAACTTTCCAAGGTGCTACACAATAAGATTCAGGTTCTGGCAACCACAGCTCAAACAGCAGGGAGTGATTTCCATATGGTGTTATTTCATTGTATTTACTCATATGATGTTCTCTTCTTATGAATTAAATACATCAAGAGTAGCTACCAMGCTGAATATACTCGAAAAGATGAAAACCCTGGACACCAATGTCTTTCCTTTATTATGATGCCTGAAGTTACGGCATTTCTTCACACCTACTGGCATATAATTTGTCACAGAAATCAATAAAAAATTACATATATATAATGATACATATTCAAAGGAGGACACACCCACATGATCATTCTCTCTTACTTCATCACCTAGATTATGCTTCTCTGGTGCAACTTTGCCACAAGACATTAATTACAAACCAATAAAAGCTTCTAATTGATCTATAAATAAAACTAAAGAATGCTGGTATTAATACTCATGGCATTCTGTTCTATTCTTTGCTTCCCAAACCAGCAAATCTAGTATTTCCAAGTCTGCCTAGAATCCCTTCATTGTTTAGATGGTGACTTTGCACACTGTTGCAGTACATTATTTATAAACATTTTCACTGCTTTTATTTTTTGCCTAACTAATCTGCCTGGGGAGATTATTTAGGCAGTGGCACATGGTSTGACYCTTGGGGTGTCCTGTGCAGGGTCAGAGGCTGTACTGATGATCCATGTAGGTCCCTTCCAACTCAATAAATGCCATTAGTCTATGAATCTAAAAGACCTTTTTAATGGTTTCAGAAAGAATTTGAAAGATATGGAAATAAACTTGAATTCATAAAAGAGGCAAATATCTCACCTTTTTTCATTTGATATTCATTCTCTAACWGCTCTGGCTTTCACTGCCAATTGATCATTTTTTGCATAGATCCACATGGAATGCCCTTTACTAAATTAAATATTCTCCAGTATTGCTTACTGCTGTCTTCCACTACATTTCCAGACTGCTAATGTATCCTGCTTGTCCTTAGAAAATTGCACAAAAATCAATGCTATTCACATTTTGCCTGTCTTAGTACCTCTGGCTTTTATAAAAATCAAAAGTTAGGTTTGTTGCTTTGAGGCTACTGTGGTTGAATTAATAAAGTGTTTTCCCATACACCTTTGAAAAACATTGTACATTTCAGTGATTTTGGTACTGGAGCAGAGGTGGAAGAGAGCAGAGGGACAAARTGGGTCTAACTGGTGAAGAGGCTACAGGAACTATTATATTTGCGGTGTGCTTTCAGGTTTATCTGTCACTAGGAATTTCCTCTGCTTTTGCACGACTACCTGCACTTTCTGAGTATGRTGTTTAAGGAATTTTTGATGTGCCTTTGATCATACTTACACCCTTCTTTCTGCTTCCATCTTCCTCTATCCCACATCTGCGACATACACTTTTCCCACTACAAATAAAACCCTTTTGCCATGGTCTGAAATGAGTCACCTATTAACAGATTACAGCCACATTCATTAGCCCTGCATCTGTGGAAATCACAGGGGTCAGCACACCCGAACTGCAAGTGATGAGTTTCACCCTGGGAAAGCCACTTTGCTGATAAAGGTGCTTTCCTGGACAGGAGAGGCTGAGCTGGGGGGAGGCTCTGAACTCAGCACGAGACTCGAGGCCTTGGTGTCAGTCCAGGGTTTCGCACTGCGCTGCCCAAACCCAGCACATCATGGCTCACACCAACCCAGACCTGCTAAACCTGGCTCAACCCAGCTGACTGTTCCAGATRAACTCTGATGTGTCTGCATGGTGCTTGACTTATTTTGCCACTGTGGGACAAGTGCAGGTGATCCACACAAACACAGCTTGGCTCTTTATCGTGAGGATCAGTTTCCTCCCAGGAGTTTGTGGTCGTTCCAATTAACAGCTACATGGCTGACAAATAACTCCTTGTCAAGTTGTTAGGGCTTAAGCTCACAAGCCCTGTAATTTCAACAGAGATTTTAAACCCCAGAACTCTATTAGCACGAAACTTTCTGCATTGCCTCAAAGAGTTAGAAACCKCCATTACCTTTGACAACAGCAAGTCTAGGAATGTAAGCATGTCAAAGTAAGGATACCAAAGTCATATGGTTTTCATCACAATAGTAACTTATATATAAGTTTAAAGCATCAAAACAAGATTTTATGCTGCCTTCCCATCTTTCATTTTTAATAAAACACTCAAGCAGTGAGATTAAGTCATGCTATGGTTTTTAAAGCTCTGGGCAGCACACTTTTAGGCAACACCACACCAGAGAAGAAGTTTCAGTAGAACGACTATGCAGCTCTTCTTACTCCTCACCCAAGGGTGGGACTGGCCGGCAGCACGAGTTTTTATTTACAGAATTTCCATCTACTTCCTTCTCAGACCAGGGGAAACACAGGAGACAGATTGTCACTCCAATCTGTTTCTGAAACACAGCAATAGCAGCTACCACAAAGCCTTTGTTTGACTCTTCCCCTTTATCAAATGCACGAGGAAATACACAGCACATAAAACTGAGCTCACAAAATGGGACTTTTCACTGGTCCTAGCAAAGTTCCCAAGAATAAAGATACAGTACATACATCTTCTATCAGAAGTGGGAAACAATACCTTATTTCTTAAGAAAAAGGTTTAGTAGCATCTGAAGCCACAAGAGAGATTGAGTTTGTCAGCACTCAATGAGTTTATTCCTCAAGCTGAGTGTGCACACACATATGCATGTCCACACACATGCATATTGGTAATCAGGGTCAAAATTCAAAGCTTGTATCTCAGATTAGCTTTGCCTTTTTCTCATGTCTGGATGCTTGCCTATGCCAACTAATTATCTCATTCATCAGTATTACGTTCATAAATATTACATTTTTAATTTGAAGAAACAAGCATGTATGAGAAAAAAAACAATATTTTATACTCTACTGCTCTGCTGCAGCATGGGGAGCATATAAATTGACTTACCCTTGTGAAGACTTTAGTTCAGATTTCTGATAGACAACAATTAAAAGCTAAATTTCTCATAATGTGTTAATATTAACAAAACACAAAATTTATAAACAATCAACATTTCTATCAACACAGAAACATATCTTTTTTTTTGTTTTAATCTTACATAGTTAATGTGCAAATTCCTGAAAGCAATATATCCTTGTACAAGACATGGCCATCTGGATGCAGAATTTGGGTATACAGTGAATACATAATTCATGTTTACAAATAAATGTGACACAAATCTCTGTTATTTATGCTCAAATCAAGATCCAGTTAGGAATGCAACATGTAAACTGATGATCAGTGACATGCAGCTCCTATTGTCACTTCTTAGGACCTTTGTACAGTTCTGACATTATAAGCAGCAGGTGCAGGGAAAAAAGCACTGAAGTAATTAACATAAAATTATATTACATTATGCCATCACCCAACAGGTGTACAAGCAGGTGATCTTTCTAATTATAATGCAGWCCAACAATTTCAGGGCTATTATTCCTTCTACATAAAAACCTGTGAATACAAACCATTTTTACCTCATTGCACAGAGGCTAAAAGCCATGGCACAGTAATTGGAACAGCCAATATTAATTCTCTGAATGCTCTTCTTGTACACTTTGGGAAAAAAAAAAAATCCAAATGCAGGAAGATTAAAGTAAGCACCTATTTTAATACAGTCAGGCCTTTRAACTAATTCATCTGATTTCTTTGCAGCAGGGCTGAGAATCTACAGCTCCTGTTGTATTGGGGTCAGAGCCAAGAGTTTTTTACAGCCTCTGGGAGAGAATAAAGATGTAATGAAGGGAAAAGGAAGTTGAACCAGAAGCTCTGGTTCAACTCTATCCTAATGTTCTGAAGTATTACTGAAGTCCAATAATTGTATAGATATTGTTCAAGAAAACCAACATTTTCAAGAACTAGAAGAAAATACTTTGCAATAGCAATAATAGTATCTTTAACAACAGCATATTCCYCTGCCCCTGTCTTGTAAGGGAACATGGAAGATAGCTGGAAGTACTTCAGTGTAAGAAACTAACTCACAGCTGAATTTCAGCACATGGGATTCAATCTGAAAACTGCTGCGATACCATGACAGGCAAAAAGTTTGTTATATCTGATATACGAGTAAGTGCAATGTAAGTCATTCACTTTAAAAACTTTGCATTTGTGAAAGAAATCCCAAACATTAAGGGATGCTGCCAGATTTCTTTTACTGCTTTGGAAAACAAACAATTTAACTGGCAACCTTAAAACTTCATGAACCCTCAGTTTATAATTATACTACTATAGGAGTAGCTTAATTTTGTTATTTTATTACTGAGCAAACTGGTTCCTTTACACCCCTCACATCTACCATCTATGCTGTTTTTGACTGATGCCATACATAGAGTTGAGAACTCAAGACACCAGTAGCCACAAAAACTTTCTGGAAGCCTCCAAAAGTGAGTCARCTGCTGCCAGAATTTAAACCAAACTTTTTTGAGTACAAAAATGAAGTTACTGAATGKCAAGCACAAATATAGAAATTTGTGTAGCAATGATGAGAAGAAACTCACCACACAGGTTGCAAACAATACAGATTGTTTTCAGAATGATCCYTCCTCTGTCTACACAGCAACATGAACCATCTGCATTTAAATTCATCTCCTGTCTGGCATTTCTCTATAATAGAAAGAGGTATTTCTGATTTTCAAAGTGTGATTCCTCTGTCCTYCTCCAGTCAAATCCCTCTGAATATGTTTGTGTTTCTCGTTGTCTGCCCCCAATCCAGCCTCCTTCATTCACCCACACCATACTGTCCTCCTGTGCTGAAACAATTTGTTTAAAGACTCTCACTAAACTGGTGTAAATTCCCCAACTTCTGGCTTCTTTCCTGATTCCTCACTGACTCCRCAGCTACTCTGTGGATCATTCAAGGTAATTAAGTCTGAGATCTGCTTAATTCAGTGCCTGACTCTATGTGACGAGTATTAAGTCACTGGAGCTTTGACAGAGCTTGATGATGGGGTTCAGTGKGTTATTTGCATGTGTGTGAATTACCTGCGGCAGTACTGCAGCGACATTTTCCCAGTTAGCTGAGAAACACTACAAAAAATTCCACAAAACCACTGCTACAGGCCCTGATAATGGATGAGGAAAACCCCTACTATCTCCAGATTAATCTATAAAGTTCCCACTGCTTGAGAACAGAGCAAAGCTGAATACTAAGTACTTTCCTAATTTCCTTACAGAGAATTCACAATGAATGTACTTTGCCCAGGTCCATTTAGTTCTCAGCCTATGATTCTTCTCTTCATTGTTCCTTCATCTCTTCTTCCTCTTTTTCCACTCAAGGTTTTTCTATTCCATTTTCCCCCATAGTCCATTCTCCAAATGGACTCCATGCTCTATCTTAATCCATTAGGCACAGAACTGTACTGACCTCCCAAGCCAAAACCATTTCTCCCATTACATTTGATGCATCTTCTGCTTTTCATGCCCTTCTGCCAGGTCTAGCACAACTCCTGCTTTTGTTGCAGGCAGGCAATTTCCTTCTCATGACCATGATTCCAGAAAGGGGTGTCATTAGGAACACAAGACAACTCCTTGCTTTCAGATCAAAGGCTGTGATGACACAAARTACAGACAGGAGGTGAATGACAGAGCAGAATCCCACAATATTCTGAGCTAGAAGGAACCCACAAGGATCATCCAACTCCTMGTTTTGAAATAGGGGAGGCATTGTGGAAGATAAATGATAWCAGTAAAGCCTCTGCAAAAAAAGGCAAAAAACAAACTACAGTGTATAAAAAAAGATCTGTAAGACTAGGGAGATAAWGCTTCCACTCAGTCTAGGAAAGCCCCCACAAAAGTACTCTGCTCCACTTTGGGCACTAAGCTTTTAAGAAATATGCAGACCAGATGGAAAGAAGGCAGAGGACAGCAGAAGGAATGATCAGATATCTAGAAAACATGATCTACAGAGAAGAACTAAATCAACTAAAATAGTTTTTCCCAGGCAAAAAAAAAAATAAAGGCAACATGTTTTGACAAATAGGTGGAAAGTGCAGAAATACTTCATGTCCACTGGGGACAGAGTGGTGTCAGTCTTGAAGTAAAGAAAGGGAAATTTAGGCAASACATGAGGGAAAAGTTGGTCATGGTAAAGACAGATAAGACACTTCAGACAGAATGCCAAATCCCTCTAAGAGAGGCCKTGGAATGATCAGATTTGAGAGAAAGCACAAATGCACATTTGTCACAACTGGTGCCAGTCCAGCTGAAGCTGATCTTTGGAAGAGGAGCAGTCTGGAGAGAGCCTCCCAAAACTCTGACCTGAGGCACTGGATCAATAAATAATGCAGAGCAACTAATACACAGATTGCTGGGATGGCAGACAAAAGTGCAGGATGCATTGTAATTGTAATGGCATGCATACGCATTAATGCAATGCTTTATGYCTGTGCTTTGTATTGACAGTCACAGCATGAAACAGCAGCACAAACCACTTGGAAAAACCTGCTACACTTGGAAAAAGCCCAAAAATTCTTACATGTAATACAGCCATTACAGAAAAAATGTCCTTAGCAGACCATAAGGGAGCCAATTACTTCCTGTCTTTGCATCAAATCCTCAAGGATCAGAAAGATATGCCAGTCCTTGGCTGGAGGAAGAAGAGTGGGACACTCCTAATAGGAACACCATAACATTTAGAATAAAATTCTAATATGGAGCATGTGAAATCAAATTAAAAAAGCCCTGTAAAAATACCATCTTTGAGGCTTCAACCTTTCACATTAATTTAAGAATGTAAATACTATATAGGCCCTTCTGACTTCAGCATGGATCTYCATGGGCAGAAAGCTGTGTCCACATGGACAATGGAGGATTACGAGCCCTTTGCAAAAGTTTCAACAAAGAAAACCCCAATTGTATACACTCTTCACAAGTCAGTGCAATTTAAAAAAAAGGCAAGTGAATCARCAACCACCTGTAACATACAAAGACATTTATCAACAACAAAACATAGAGTTTCAAGCAGATATAAATCATTGAGTCAAACTTTTACACTGAAGTTACAGCCTTCTACAGCTACAGAAATTGTATTCTACTTTTCCTATTTTGCATTTGTATGCACATACATATGTACATATACATATGTATATATCTGCATGCTACAGCCTGTCAATGTCACCCAACCTATGAAATTCTATAGACAGCTTTTGCTCATAAATCTAGAAGACACTTTTTCTTTCAGTAGAACAAACCCTTAATCTGGTTTCAATGAGTTGTAAAAGACAGCTCCTGTGATTCACCCCCTCCCCTCAACAGAAGCACTGCTTGTTAATCCAGCAGGAAATAACATTTGCCAGGATTGACAGCTGTGGATTTGYATTCAATTCCCAAATTAAAAACCAATGACAGGGCCTAGTTCAATGGAGATGTCAAGTAAAATAAAGAAAGTAAAAAACCTGCTGCTTTCTCTGTAAAATACAAACATACATACATTTTGGATAACAATACTAAAAGCTGGGAATGAGATATAATAGGATTAAAGCTGTGTGCAAAGTTTCTCTTGAGTGTTTCTTTTTTCAACAACTCACACTTTGTATTTTTCCACTTACATATTAATTTTTCCCCTTACTCCTAATAAATGTTTTAAAACATGTTAAAAACTATTTAAATAACTATTTGAAACATTGCAAATATACGGTGTAATAATTTCCACAGTCAAATCAGCAGAATCTTCATATATAACAATAATTATTGACCAATTCAGAAAAAGTTTAATTACACACCACATATTATGAAGAGATCTAATGGCACAGGCTCTCATGCTCATGCAAAATCATGTTAAAGGTTAATCAGAGAGCATCTTGGGCAGTTTCTATTGTTATTCTGAATAATTAGAGTCAGAAATGGAAAACATCTGATATAGTAAAGATGGACTGTTTTCTAGTGGTGTAAAAAACTGATCTGAAGAGCCCAATGCAAGTTTCCCCTGTTCTAACAGCCTTTGGAATAAGGTACAAGAGTACGATTCTTCCTGGGAAGTTAATCCCATAATTATGATATTGATCATATTTATAATTCTTTACATTTCTGAAACCTCTCACTTGTTAAAATTACAGCTTTCTTATACCTTCAGATGTCCATGTTCCTCCACATTGCTTAAATAAGGGAAGAGAGAACACTGAGGCCACTTCAGCAATCTGCGAAACAACRAAATGCCAAGTGTTGTAACATAGAGCTGTTTACCTGTAAGAAGTGATCCTCCTGAGGTCTGCAATGGACACACGATACCCACACTCCTCCAAGACTTCCTCACAAGCAATTTCTTCCAAAGAAAGGCCTGGCTTGTCCACAATGCCAGCACAGAGTTCATAGGTCACTCCAACCACAGCAGGTAATGGGGTCTCCAGGGAAGTGAAGCTCTCCTTGTCCTGATTCTGAAAGATTTGAGGATGATGCCTTTCTACTTCACACATGTAAACAGCTGAAAAAACATCCAAAATATGAAAGAAAAAGAAACAAGGGGCGGTATATTAGTATGTTCATATTAAATAGAAAAAAGGGTGGTACACAAACTTTGCCTGGAAATTAACAACCATGAGAGTACTTGAGAGTAACAAGGAATTCACCTATGTTATCTGTTAAAATAATGACACACAAAAATGGAATTTTAAAGAATAAAGGTTCTTTTGCCATGCCCGTAAAATTATTCTTTAAACTCTATTTGTACTTACATCATCTGAAACAAATTCATGCACACCTTAAAATAAATAAAATTGAAAAAGGAAGCTAGTTCATCCAAAAAATCTAAGTGCCAGAAAGCACCACACAGTTTCCATTTGTTGGGCAATGTGGATATCAGGATTTAATTTAAACTATGCAGTTATCTTGCAGGAAAGTTGGGTTGCACATAAAGTACCATGTGCACAATGATGAGTCTTTCAGSCTGTCAACTCAGCTGTTATTTAGAAAGGGTATGAAAAGCATTCATGTTTGTCAGGAAAAAAATCCTCTTTTGAACATATAGTTCCTTGCACAGATTCCTGTGTGGGGTCTGAAAAAGACTTCTTGAATTAATCTACAAACAGCTGCCACTGTAATGCACTCCTGAGGAAAGTGCAAATGTCAGATTTTAGTCCTTATTTAAGCAAAACTTCTCACTGATGTCAACAGAAATTTTGCCTGAGTGAGAACTGCAGGACTGATGTCAACACACAAAGAAGCCCTACTGACAGACAACTACACATCATTATAACTTTAATATACACTTATTTTTGTTTTTCAATTTCCTTATATCTATCCCCTTGCTTTTCACTAAAGGTTACCTAAAGAGTGTTATAAACCACCCAGAATAAAACTATTTTAAACTTTGAACCAATTTTTATTCCATTAAAATATTTTACATGCATATTTCACATACACATAACATGGCTTTCAAATAAGTTTCTCTTGTATTTCCCATTCTAAATCTTGCAGAATTGATATATAAGAACTCAGGTTTAACAGGCAATGTTTTGTTCTTGGATTTAGCTTATTATTTCTTTAAAAAAGGTGTCTAGAGAAACGTTGTTGCATAACATTAAAGTACCACAGTGACCTCTTAAGCACTTGGTCTCTGAGGTAGAGACCACACTCCAAAAATTTGTGCYTGGGCTCCTCCTGCAATGCTCATTTTTGACACCTCAGAAGTGTAAAATAGCAAGATCAGCACTTCAAAGGGAGAAGTCAAGATCAGKCCAATGTCCAAAATCTAATAGTTCTCCAGAGGTTAAAAACTTTCAAAGCTGCTTGTCTTASGTACATCCAGGTCTTTAAGATTCAAACAGGTACAGATAAGGGTTTCCATTTCTTACTTGAGAGACATGACTTAGAGCTCAGTTTTCTTTTTAAAGCGCAGCATGAAGCCAAAAAAAAAAAACCAACAAAATTTCCCTGCCAGCTCTAAGGGACAGCTCCTTGAAGGGTGTCTATTGTCATTATTCCAAAAACTTCTAAAAGCTAGGAAAATTACCATAAATGACAACCACATCCAAGATTTCTCTGAGATGAGCCAAATCCTCTGAAAGTTCTATTTCTTTTTTAGTACTGACATACCCATATCCGATAATTAAAAAAGAAACAACACATGCATCCCATTAAAGGCTTTAGGCATTAAAACAGGATGCAGGTAAGAGTGTGGGGTACAGAAATATAACACTGAGACCTAAGAATGTTGTAAGCCTTTTGTATCCCTGAAACCCATCCTGTCATTCCATCAGGCACCTGCTGTTCTCCCTCTCCCTCAGCACAACTGGGCTCCACGTAGATCAAAACCTACATTCCCTGAAGGACCTAATCCAGCAGTCCCCTTCAGAGCAAAATSTTGAGATATGTCCACACTTCAAGCCCAGCAACAGCTTTTCTCTGGAGACAAGGAAGAAAAGAAGCAATACCAGGCACTTCTGTAAAAGCCCAAATATCAGAGCATTCACCAAGGAGTGTGGTTATGAATTTAATATCACCTGGCTTGCAAAGGCTCAAACTCAATTTATCTYTCACAGATAAGCAAAGCCTTGAAAGCCAAGCTGCCTGCTAATAYCAGGGAACAGAAAGCCTCCCACACCTCTCTTGAAGGTGCAAAAAAGATTAGTGATAAAGAACCGGACAGAAAAGCGGTATGTGACCTACTGGCTAAGACACACTCTTCAGAGGGGAACCTGTGACCCTCCTCTTCCTCATCACAGGCTGTCATCTTATGGCAAAAACCACAAAGAGTTTGTAAAGCAGAATCCAGAAGCTCCAGCACAGTCACCCACCCACTTGTGCCATGTCCATCGTTCCCTCATCTTCTGCTATTTCCTTGGCCAGAAACTGCCACTTCATMATTTCTGGGCAGTGTCCCCCAATGCCAGACAAACACGTGCCACGAGTGGCAGCACAGTGAGGGATCAGCCTGTGCCAGGGCAGCTCCTGGCTGGACATCAGRAAGGATGACAACAGAAAGGGCTGTCAGGAACTGGAAAAGGCTTCCCGAGGAAGGGCTGGAATCAACATGTGGATTAAATTATGCTGGAGCCACTCAGCGGTAGGAAGCCTCAGAGTGGAAACTCCAGTAGAATTGATGTTCTCACCTTCYTTTCTGTAAGGTGGGATAAAGGATAGATGGCTCAACCAAACTGAGCAAATAAGATCACAACTGTTATTGAAAGCAGCCTTTGTAGGTGACACACACATGGATTTTTTTGCTATCCCTAAATATAAGAAAACAACAGTAAGGACAAATGAGCCAGTGGGGTTTGGCTGTCTGGGGAAGGTGCTGACATCTCTCTAAATTTCTGACGGTGCTTCACACATTCTGAAACAGAACATGGCTTATGATTCAAATCTTTGATACTGTTTATTTTAAGTCAGTGGAAAAACAAACATTACAATCCACTGAAAGGACATTATACCTACAGAGTACACGTTCATAGGTCCCAACCCCAGCCCTTCCCAGGAATATATAATTTTATTGTATTTGAAAATGTGTTGTCAATTGCCTACCAAAATAAGCATTAATCAATACCTCTGTAAATAAGCCATGAGTGAGGAACATATACAGAGATATACAGAGATACACGTTTAACTTTCTTCTCTCTGCTCATCCCAAACATGTGATTTCATGATCATTCAAGATGATGTAAGCCCAGAGCACACTATTTGCCTCACTGGCTGTATGTTCCTGCCACCCCTCAAATCAGCATGAGCTCCTTCAGGCCACTCAGGATCCTCAAAACTTTCTGCTTGCAGCCATTCGGCTGAGGCTGAGTAAGGGATGGTGCTGCCAAAGGGAGCARGGTGGGAATGTCTGGGCAGGGAGGGATGAGTGCCTTTACAAGCAGCACACAATCAGTGGGAAAAGCTGCTCCTGACAGGGAAAAGGCGAGCACACATGGCACCAGCACACGTGCAGGGGATGGATCTGGTGAGTGAGTGGCAGCTGTTCACTCGCAGCAACGAGTGATCGCCTTCCTGGTAGGATCTGGCGAGGAGAAAAGCCTCAGCCTTTATCTTTGCTTTGTGGAACAGGCACCAGGACAGACAGTAACCATGGAATGTGAGTAAGGGCAGGCATGGTGTGTGATCTCTGAACTGCTGTGGGGTGTCTGACTGACCACTGTGCCCAAGGCCAGGTGTATGGAATGGTTTAACTCCAGAAACAGTCCAGTCTTTTGAGGCTGATTTGGCACTTCCCTGCAGATAATGCAATGAATGTGTGGCTGCTCAGTACATAAATATATATATATGCACAGATATGAAGGTTTCTCCTCAAGATTGCCTCAAAGAGAGCAACAGCTACAGGAGCCATTTATTTGCTGGCAAATAAAAGACATTGGCTTAATGATGAACAAATAACCAAACACTTTACACAAGTCAATTAGCACTTTGTGAGAAGGATGCACTGTCAGTGTAACAGCACTGGAGAGGCTGTAATCAGTGTCAGTAAAAAGGGCAGTGTGACACTACCCTACAAAGTTTCCTACAAAGTCTACCATAAACAGGCTTGAAATGGTCTCTTAGCAACAGTTAGTGAAATACCTTGTGATTTCTTTTAATTAACATGCAGAGAATATGCATTTCGTTTTTAACTTCCAGAAAGTAAATATTGCTTTAAGTTAAAATAACTGATATAAAAACTCAGAAAAAATTCATAATAATAACTGGTAAAATTAAGCTGTCCAAATACTGATGAAAAAGCATATAGTCCTGAATTTCCCTCATTTTAAATTCTCAACTATATTGTGCACAATAAAACAGCAAATAAAAAGCATATTTAGGACAAAACAGAAAAAAAAATATTGTGCTTCTGTACAAGTAGGTCAAGAAGGAACTTCAAATTAAAGCAACTTMTTGCACAATCTTTGTAGTGCTGTTTGTAATTTCATCCAAAAGGGACAATAACCAGCCCAAAAACAGAATGTAAGGCTACCCTGATCATTCATTTCATCTGTAATGGAAATTTCCCTGGTTAGAAATTCTGACTGACTGAAAAGGATGGGCTATCATACAAAGAAACAGAATATAGAACAAAGATTTTATCACCACAGATGCACCAACTTTTAACTGCTAAACCCTTAAAAGCTTGCTTCACTAGAGAGCAAAAGTAAATCTAAAAAAGAGGATTACCTGGGCGGAACTGCTTCACCACAACAAAGCACTGCCGAGAAGTATTAAAGATCAGGATTGACACACTGAGGAGGAAGATAAAAAACCAAAAGATCAATGCTTTATGAAGGATTAATGCTGAACTATTAAATTTACATCTTGTGAATTTAATTTTAACTTCATAAATACATATAAGATGTACACAAAGCCACAACACAACAAGATCCTTGTCCAAAATCCATCTAGGGGGACAGATAAAGGGTCATGTTCCCAAAGCCCATAAGAATTTACACAAAATTAAGTCCTTTTTGTCTCCCRGCATGCAAAATAAGTACCAATCAATTCCTTCTTCCCCACAGGAAATACATACCCCTCCCCACCTTCCAGTCTAAGTAATAGATTGCAAAAAATCCTTAACAATAAAAACATTCTCTTCCCTTTTGTCAGGCTCAAATCAGGACAGTCAAAACCTCAGGMACAGCCTAGTCTCAGAGCCAGTGAATTCTGTATGAGTACAGAGCATCTCCTATCTGTAGCTGCTTGCTGAGCTCAGGTTTCAAAACAGACACCATCCAAGTACAATTTTGTACAAATTAAAACCAGTAATGTCAACTGCTATGTTCAGTGGTTCCTTGGTTGCTTGAAATACGTGTCATGGGACACCTGAAGGGTTGGGTATTTGGGGATGCTCTGGAGGTGTGGAGTACTGATGTTCTCTGCTTGCTTACACTCTCAGGTTTAACTAGGTTAAGAAAATGCAGACAAAAGTCYTTCTCTTTAGCTGGTAGCCCACTGCCACCTGAAAAAACAAGTGTATATTTTGCTCATTACCATGGCAGCATTCTCTCATTTGTTCTGCCTCACTGAATGCAATCGAGACGTTAATTCATTATTCTATGAATTCTACAATAGATTAGACTCACAATGGCATATTTGCAGGGTTGAGTCAAACTTCCAACTCTCCTTGTAAAAGAGCTGTGTATTTATTTTCACTATTTGATTTAATAATGAAGTCTCGAGCTGCCAAAGATAATGCTATCTGATGATTATTAAAAATAATGTTAATGTTTATTATAATAATATATAAAACCTAAAACAGAAGGGAGAAGTCCAGATGTTAGCATTTATATTCATGATTGCTATTCTCAAAGACACGTACTGTGTATTGATGGCTTCCTGCCCTGGGAGATGCCATTTGCAGGCAACTTTAAAGCAAAGATTTTACCCTTAAGAGAGGCTGGAGAAGAACATTCCCTCTGTTTAGTGGCACAGGAGATCTTTCTGGAATACCTGGGAGTTTCTGCAGATTGCTGGAAGAAATGAAGTTAAGCCACAGACCACAGTATTTTTAAGGTTACTTAAAGTTTGTTTTTTTTTTATTCTTTGATTTTTTTTTCCCTCTTCATGACTGTTCCTCTCTCCAAAGYGGTACTGTCTGAGGGCAGACACTGCACTAAATAAAAGGGGAGAAGGAATTACTGCTACTGAACCTTTGTTGTTTTGTCTGTGGGCACTGCCTGAAACTGGAGACAGCAGCAGCAGCCTAAAGCTGCTGATGAAGAGAAAAGAAGAAGCTTCCTGAAGCAGATGGTTGCCCTTTACCTTTCTTTACATCCACCACCCGAGGCCCAATCTTTCCTTTGGCTTGCCTTCTTCAGCACGTCTCATTAAATAACTCATACCAACTCATTAAAAATGGCTCAGCTATTAAGACATTATTTTTTCCTAGGAGTCAATCACTTTAGATTTTTATGGAACAGATGGGAAAATTAAAAACAATCTGTCAGAATTAAGGAACAAGATCAAATTAGCTGGAAAGGAGTAGCAGCAAGTTATTACAATTGTCTGCTTCTCACACCATCTTGAGATGAGAGGGTACAGAAATGGCACAAATCTGTAGAACTTTCTATTTAATTACTTCTGATTTTMTGAGAGACTGACAAACAATTTGAACAGAAATTTACATTTTTGACAAACCACAACACACACAAGTTTTAATATTTCCTGTTAGAGTTGGAGATTATGGAGGAGAAAGTTCAGAATTACACCTTCTTAGGAAGGATTTAGTATTAGGAATGCCATTTGCTGTTTATTTCACATAATATTCCACATAACATGAAATATTTCCACAGGTCACCAGGTCTGTAACTGCTGAAAACCCACTGAAGGCTGCATTCAACACGGTTATTTGAGTATTGCACAAAGTTAGAGCAAGACAGTTCAACTGAGCTAAGTGGAGGAGCCTCAATTTTCAAAGTTTCCTTATAATGACCCAAATATGTGAGTTCAGATGTTTGGTCTGGCCTACTTGGAAAATACTTATCTTCTGGAGTTTTAAACCATCACAAAGACTTCACTACAAAATTAGTTTGAGATTGTTATTTTTACAGATGATACAAAAAAGAACTACTACAAATTGACCAGCAGGTCCAAATACATCGTTCAATTATAACATATCAGGGGGTATTAGARGTATTTGATGTTTCAGAGCAATTCCCTGTAAATATTACAACCAGACCTATTTTAGGRTATTATATACACAGCTTTAAAGTGAACAGTAAACATATAGAATTAAAATTAAGACATCCACAAGGACTTTTGTGAGCATCTCCACAACTAAAAGAAACAGAAGTTAAGCCAAAGTTGTACATTTGGGAAAAAACCCACAGAAGCACTAGAAAAGAAAAGAAAAGAAAAGAAAAGAAAATAAAATAAAAGAAAAGAAAAGAAAAGAAAAGAAAAGAAAAGAAAAGAAAAGAAAAGAAAAGAAAAGNAAAAGAAAAGAAAAGAAAAGAAAAGAAAAGAAAAGAAAAGAAAAGAAAAGAAAAGAAAAGAAAAGAAAACCAGCCACATTTCCTAAAAAAAGGCAGTAATCCTAGAGAAGGATTTAATCTAAAATGGGTACCAAAGTTCCTAATGTAGCAACAGGTCTGAAACAGGAGCACAAGACCATCTTTTGTTATATTTTACAAAGGAAAAGAATACCCAGATTTAAAAGGATCACGATGAATCCCAAGCTTCCATCCATGCCTTAAAACAATCTGTAACACCTCTACACTAAGGAAATGCTGTCTCAGCTTAGACCTACTGATCTTTACTGGCAGATTACAACTTTCACCATATTCCAGAGGTGTGTATCTTTGCTGGCTATTCCTTCAGCAGCTCTGAGGGAAAGCAGAGGTGTAAMAGGAGAGGTCAGGAATGCAAACTCCACTGACCAGAGAAGGAGGCTTGGGTCCTCCACCCCACACCTGTCCGTGGCTGTTTTAGGGACTACAACCAAACAGAAAAGAACTTTTCAAGAGATGACAGGCTGTGTACAGTGTCTCCCAGAGCTGGTGAAGAGCACAGACCAACCCAGCCTTCAGCCCAACYCCTCCTCAACTTCCCACTGCAGTCACTTCCATTCACTTTACACATACAATAAATTACTACTCTAATTACAATAGTTTTTCCCAAAGAAAGCACGCATGTAAACAGCTTACTGTGCAATTATGTACAACATTGTTCCTTCTATAAATATAGGAAAAATCAGAGTAGCTTAAAAATACTTTAAGAAAGATATGTACTTAAAATGTTACCTAGAACAAGCAGCAAACCTGTACTTGAGTTGTTATGGTACTCAAGTTTGCAGTTGAAGTGTGTCTGGTTTTGGCACCTAGCACAATGTTTTGTGAAAGGGATTCCAACTATTCAGTCAAGACTCTCATGTAGCATTTAACCATTTAAACTTCAAAAACCCCCTGACTGAAATAGGTATTAGGATCCTCTGCTGGATATTTGAGTTCCCTAAAATGTCTAAGTCAATGAGCAGAAAATACAGACCGCTCACCCAAGGATATTGCAGCATAAAAGTGCAGAACCTTAATTCCTCCTCCACCTTTAAGACTCTTATCAAAAGAGAAACTATCCACCTGAATACAACCTTTGCAGCTGAAACACCTCTTAGAAGAGTTTAGAAAATGACTCCATTGTGTGCCATAGAAAACTACTTCCACATTTTTTCTTCCCCCAACATAGTATAGCTCTGTATTTACTAAAATTACAGTAACTGATGCTTTGTGACATTGCAGCTCAGCAGACATTTAGCTAGAAATACTACAACTTCACACTCTCAAACCTGCGAAAGTAGGGTGGTGGTTCATGGAGCAGCACGAGACACGCAGCATTTGACCACAGCAGTTCCGAGGCAGGGGACAGATGAAAACTGACATCCTGCTAAAATGTGCGCACACACATATGGACCATGCAAAGTTAATGCTTTTGAAATACACCCTAGCAATTAAGATCAGCAAATGAACTTTGCCACAGCTTCTTAAAACATGTTCTTCTGGAGCTCTGATACCTGAAGGAATGTTTTGGGGATTAGGGGGCTTTGTTTTTTGGTTTAGGTTTTTTGGTGAGGTTTTCTCGTGAAGGTTTTTTTGTTGTTGTTTTTTAATAATTTTTTTCAGGTAGTCATGTAATTTTGCCTTGTAGTCATCAATATGGTAATCTGTCTTCATGATTTGACAGTTGTTAACCTGGGCTAAATTTAATCCACAAGCAACTGCTGACACTTACTAATTGTTTTTCATGAGACAAACTCGCAAAATTCTTTAATAAATAAAGATTGATTCAGCCTTTCCTAATTGTTAGATGTGGCCTTAATGATGACTTTACAAACATGAATTTGTAAAACTAAAAAAATAATTTTAGAAAACCCCCACAGTACAGCAATAGCAAAGACAAGGACAGGACTCTCCTGTACTTCTGTGAATGAAATACGACTTTCAAGGCTGGAGATGAGGATTTTTAATGATCATCTTGTACTAATAACTAAAATACTAATATGTTAGGTAATTGATGAGATAATACAGGCAAAGAAACAACTGACCTTTCTTAAATCCGTGTAAGAGCTGCTCAGGGGCTGCTTGTGTCAAGCATGGGTATGTGTGTGACACACATAAACTGTGATCAGAAATGAATTATGGAAGACAAAGCACCTAAAAAGAGACTGACATTGACATTAACACTGAAAACCAGGATTTTTCAGCTATTAACCTCAGCCACTTTCACCTACTTTTAAAGGTTAAAAAGTATCTCA